TTGTTGCTTACCACATGCACTTTAATTCATAGGTTTATTTGTTTGTTTTCTTGTTTATTGATTATTTAACCGTTTATACCTATTTGTTGATTAGTTTGAATAGATGCCCTGATCATGTTTTTCTTAATTGTTAAAGTATCAATTTATATTATTTGTTTAATTGTCGTTATATTGTTATGTAAATATAGAATGAGATGGTTGTATGTAATTAGTGGCTGGTTGATGATGTGAACATGTATGTAAAAGACTTACCAAGTATCATGGAAAAGGGTGTACGGATATGGTGTATAGGACAACCCTACCGTGAACATTACCTCAATCAAACAAGGATGAGAAATCTCATACCAGAATGGGTTGGAAAATATTTATTCACCCTTATACCGGACGAGGTATGAACACAGTGGTACGTTGGCACCCATTACCGGACAGAATACGAGGACGACTGATGAATTAATAGATTGGATATTGAGTCCATGTATAGGGAAAGTCTCTATGGACCCTTAGAGATACCGGTAAGCAAGTAAAAAGGTAAGGTTTGACTAGTATTGTTCCATAAAATGTGTAAATAATTACTATTTTAATTATTGCCTTCACTAGTCGAATTTGAAAACCTAATAGGTGGATATGAAACTTGTGCTTTTACATTAAATAAATTTACCAAAAAAGAAAAATAACTTCATTGGTTGTCCTGTAATTTTTATCCACATTTGGTTTTTCATATCGATTGTTAAGTGTTGACATTCTTACTAGAGTAGTGTAGTTCATTCTCCTTATTTAACCACTTCAGATCATTAATATCAAAATTCAGATCTTAAAAATGAAGAAAGTTAGCGACTAAATGTTGCCTTCCTTGTCCCAGTGGAGTCACCCTGCAAAGTTTGACCCTATAAGATTTTTAGTTATATTTCTATTTCTGTTATTTTAATCTCCTTTAAGGGACATTCCCGTATCCCTATTGAGTATCCTAATTTACTGTGCAAGGAATGTAAATCCTATATCTCAATTTCTTATGCTATTATTTCATTAATTCAGTATTATAATTTAATAAAATTTTAGACCTTTACAGTTGGTATCAAAGCCACGTTCCTCGAAACTATTTCTTGCTCAAAAGGTTAAAATCATTCAATACAACCCAACTCTCAACTATTCGTTGTGAAATACAAGGACATGAGGAGAGGAAGACTCCCACTGAACGGAGCAGCTCGGGATAGGTCGCTTCGAGAGGATGTCGATAGCCTCTTTGAGATGCTGGAGAGACTCATCTCAAAGAGGCTTGACTAGTATTGTTCCATAAAATGTGTAAATAATTACTATTTTAATTATTGCCTTCACTAGTCGAATTTGAAAACCTAATAGGTGGATATGAAACTTGTGCTTTTACATTAAATAAATTTACCAAAAAAGAAAAATAACTTCATTGGTTGTCCTGTAATTTTTATCCACATTTGGTTTTTCATATCGATTGTTAAGTGTTGACATTCTTACTAGAGTAGTGTAGTTCATTCTCCTTATTTAACCACTTCAGATCATTAATATCAAAATTCAGATCTTAAAAATGAAGAAAGTTAGCGACTAAATGTTGCCTTCCTTGTCCCAGTAGAGTCACCCTGCAAAGTTTGACCCTATAAGATTTTTAGTTATATTTCTATTTCTGTTATTTTAATCTCCTTTAAGGGACATTCCCGTATCCCTATTGAGTATCCTAATTTACTGTGCAAGGAATGTAAATCCTATATCTCAATTTCTTATGCTATTATTTCATTAATTCAGTATTATAATTTAATAAAATTTTAGACCTTTACAGTTGGTATCAAAGCCACGTTCCTCGAAACTATTTCTTGCTCAAAAGGTTAAAATCATTCAATACAACCCAACTCTCAACTATTCGTTGTGAAATACAAGGACATGAGGAGAGGAAGACTCCCACTGAACGGAGCAGCTCGGGATAGGTCGCTTCGAGAGGATGTCGATAGCCTCTTTGAGATGCTGGAGAGACTCATCTCTACCCAGCGGGCCAAAAAAGAGAAGAGGGAGCTGTCTGACCCTCCACCACTGCCACAGTATAAGTCACCTCTATAACGAAAGAATCTAGTGCCACCTTGGTATAATCCTGCTCCTCTATCGTATCATACGGTACTGCCAAAATACAATATGGTGCCCCAACCATATAATTAAGTGCTGCCACAGGGT